ATACATGTGTTGTGGAACATTAATGAAAATAAAAATGTGGAACTATTAAAAAAAAAGATACCGATGACAATTTATTGAGACTTTCACTTACTAAGTGACTCAGCTGGCTATGTCATTAATCTTGGAATCAGCTGTCTTTAGATTTAATAAAAGATATTAACTGTGATTCTGATAAATAAAAACTGTATTCTTGGCAGCTGATGTGTGTGAATGTTTCCATAAGAATTGTTGAGAAAAGAATTTGCTCAGCTCACATTAGGATAGAACAGAGGGTGAAAATCTATGACCTGTGGGCAAAATACATACGTATAGTCCCACTTACTCTGTTAGTCCTCTTTATCGATGGTTTGGGTTCAGTCGGATTTAACTACCTGAGGTCAGCTGCAAATTCTAGAGATAAATAATTTGTAAGATTAAGTAAAATTTTAATATTAGGTTGTTCTAATTCATTTGTTTTATTACCATTGCTGTTAATTTCTTATTGCCTCTGAATTTTAAACTGGACTAGTCAGAAGTATTCATATATGTCAGCCTGATTTGATTGACAAGAGCCCAGGAGATTAGTTAGGTACACCTCAAGGGGATGACTGTGGGTGGGTTTCCAGAGACGATTGCCATGAAAAGGCTCTAACTTAATGAACACTTCATTCCATCGATGAATTCTCAACAGAGTAGTGCTATTGGGAGGTGGTGAACAGTGGAAGCTGGAGCCTAGAAGGATGGAGAAGATCCAGGGAAGGAATAGCCTTAGGATTATGTATTGGTCTGGGCCCTTGTGTTTGATCTCTGCTACTTTTGCTTGAGGGGCAGTCTCTTCCTCCACATGCTCTTATCACCATGTGTTCTGCCTCAAGCTAGGCCTGGAGTCAACCAAGTTGAGGACTAAGGACTGAAATCACTGAAACCAACATTAATCCTTCCTTGTATGAGGTGCTCTCTCAGGCATTTTTTGTCATAGTTATGGGAAAAGTAACTGAAACTGTATACATAGGGGAAAAACCCATAGTTTATAAAAAGTTTGCAACTATTGAACTGCCCAAAGTAGTTCCATTTCATTCTAGTTCAGCTAACTCTACTCACCTACTCCCGAGCCCTTACTGACCACACCCTGCCCACCAGAACATTTCCCTGCAGCTGCTCTTGGAGTTCTACTGTCTTACAACCTAAAACAAATTATTTTAATCAACTGAATATTTGAACCTTTGGAAGCCCTGCTTGCCTATGGCATGATGTAACTATGGTTTTTGGTTTTATGATTCCCATCTGTCGCAAAAGCTTGCTCTTGGTCTCCAGCCTAAGTAGAGAACTCTTATCCAGCTTTATAGTCACGGTGGTCTGTAACTTTTTCTTGTGTGCTCTAACACTATTTGTAATTTCTTATCCACTGGGCATCTTGTATTAGAAGGGGCAATGCTATTGTCTCTGAGTGCTTTAGCATTTGAAGGGCAAAATGGAATAATTACAGCGAAGACCAACTAACTGTTCTAAAGTATTTACCATTTGGCTCTTGGGAATACATAAGGAGTGGAAGGAAGCCACAAGGAAGAGCTCAGTTTGATGCTAAGAAGAAAAACTTCTCTGCTTTCTATAAAATAGGGGCAGAGGGTGTGGTTGGTAGGGAGGGCACTGCAAGGAAAAGCACCTGCTGTCCTAGGGAGTCTAGAGGAAAGATGAGGGCCAATATTTGAGTGATATACTCATGATGTATGTGGTGCTACCGGGCCCCCTTTCTTGGTCTTACAAAATGTTCAGTAGCAATTCAAAATACCTCATATGTGGATGTCTTGCTTCTTTTTTTAAAAGTTAAAAAAATGTTCATTTTTATTATATGCATATGGGTGTTTTCCCTGCATGTATGTCTATGTACCATGTGCATGTATTTTCTGTAGCGGCCAGATCTGGAGTTACAGATCATTCTAAACAGCCATGTGGATTTTGGGAACCCAGTCACGATTCCCTGGAAGGGTAGCTAATACTCTTGACTGCTGAGGCATCTCTCCAGCCCCATGTGATTTCTTTTAAAAACATTAAATGTTTACTCTGTCCAAGTTACTCTTCTACATGTCTAATGCTTAACAAATCTTACCCTCCCCCATATTTGGAGAGGATATCTAGTTCTCTATTAATGCAAACAAGCCTCTAACAGATCAGAGACCTGCACTAGCTTCCAGGTAGTTTCAGCAGCTTGCCACACTCCCACCCCTCTGCAGCATAACCCCTTATAACTGGCAGGATTCTCTGAACATTTTTGCTATCTTTTCTGCCATAGCCCTAGCAATTGCCAGTCTGCTCCTCTTTCTGTCCCTGAGAGGTAGTCATGGCAGACTCCCCCAGGTGCCTCTGTCTTCTCTCTGTTATCTACAATAAAAACCTTCCAAGTTAATCATGGAACTGCCATATCACATACAGCACACACACCCATCACATACAGAAGGGAAAGTCAATATCCTCTGTCTCCGTTTTGCATATGAAGAATATCTGGGTCAGAGAAGCTATTGGGTAATTAGCAAAGGTAGATTTTGACCCACAGTGTGATTCCTGAGACTGTATTTTGCCACCTTTTTCAGTTTGAGGATGAAAGTCTGGTTGTGGACTCTGATATTCAGTTGCATCCCTCTGCAGGAATGGAGGATGTAGTGCTCTTACCAACCCCTTTCTTGTGACTTCTCTACGATTGCTGTCTTGCCAGCCTCTTCCCACAGCAATATGCATTTGTGCCTGTTCTACATGGGGCTATAATGGCCTTTTCCCAACTCCTGACTCCAACTCAGTGGATTTCTGAACTGTCTTCTGAGCATCCCATGGGGTTGTCCAGGTTCCTGTTGAGACTGAAGTGCAGTGTACTTTCACTCTGCCCTTCTCCTTCCCTTTCCATTCTTCCCTTTCCAAGTGAAGCATGTCACTTTCTTTAAACCCTTAAATATGAAAGCTGTATGGTTCTGAATAGTTTTGCAAAGCCCCACTATACAGAGTGAACTCCTACTAAAGCATTTGGCTTTTAATTCAGAGTGAGTCAAAGACTGGCCATTTTTCATACACAAATATAGTTGTTGGGTTGTTTGGGGACAGTTTTTGGTCACCACAGGGAGGACTTTTAAATTAGAGGTCTTGTTCTCATGCCAAAGAAGAAAACTGTATCAGGGGTACTTTTGAAAGCACAGGGGACACAGGATGGCAAAGGCCTTACCTTCCTGGGGTACTTGTAGGGCGCTGTCACTGACTTCACATGCTGCTGCAGCAACTTGGTGAGCTGATCTGGGTCATGGGACAGGAACTCAGGGGCAAGAACCACAAATGCCTTTACCACCTATAGCAAGGATGGGAACCATGAAGAATGAGAATACTTATTCATCTCCCAGGATGAAGCAAAAATCAGTATCAAGACGCCCACCCTGGCCACTACAACTGAATGCCTGCATTCATCCAAATGTCTGGGCCAAAGGAAAGGAGAACATGGGAAGTGGATAAGAACAGCCAACGGAGTGACTTATTTTTTGAATGAGAGTTAGGATAAGAGATCCCAGGCTCCAGTGATCATAAAGACTGCTGAGGGGAAAACAGATACAGAGAGGAAAGATAGGAAAACAAAGAATGGGGTCTCTAATTTTAAATGGTTTGATTAATCTCTTCCAACTTCAGTTTACTCATCTATAGGATGGGATAATGTTTTCACATTTAATTCACAGGAAGTAAAATAAAACCATCTACAACTTAAAGCTCAATGGAAGGTCCTCTTTTTGCTTTCCCAGTAGCTCTCATTATTTTACATGCCATGTGGCCCATATCTGCCAGACATATGACATCACCATGCAGAAGTGCACTGGGACACTGATCCACTTACCCACCTTAAGCCCTCCACACACACACACACACACACACACACACACACACACACACACACCTCTGCACAGTCCTGTAACCCTGATGTCACAGGGTCCTCCTCTTTCATGCCATGGCTCAAGGATTGCATCTTCTAGACCGAATGTTCCCTCTTTTACTCTTGTCAAGAAGCAGGTCCTTACAGATGCTCATGTGCTAGGTTGCTAAGTCTTGTCCCCAGCCAGCACTTGGCAAATATGTAGCACATTTAATGCTCATGACACTCATTCCACAAATGGGGAAACTGAGGAAAATAGTGGTTAAGCAGTTTGGTAAAGCTCACACAGCTGATTGGCAGTGTGGTCAATATTTGAACCCAAGCAGATTAGCCTAGGAATCTGTGTTCTTAACCACCTTACAACACGGTCCCTGTGTTTCACAACTGCACTGTCACCTCTCCTCTGGTAGGGTCTGGGCTGCTGATCACAGCTGTCTCAGCCACGGCAGGGTGCTCCATCAATGCATTCTCTACCTCTGATGGACCGATCCGGTACCTGCAAAAGGATGCCCTTTAAAGAAGACTGGACACCCAACCTCTAGCAATGCATTCTCTACCTCTGATGGACCGATCCGGTACCTGCAAAAGGATGAGAAGACTGGACACCCAACCTCTAAGACTAAGAATCAGACAGAACAAAACCCTAGAATACCCTTCCTGGTCCAGAAACAATGCTCACCCACTGGAATTAATGATATCGTCTGTCCTCCCCATGAAATGGAAATACCCTTCTGAATCCTTGGTTCCCCGGTCTCCCAGAAGCCAAAAGTCTCCTCGAATATTGGCCTCTGTCTTCTTAGGATTGTCCTAGTGAGCACAGAAACAGAGAACTACTGTGTCTGCAAAGTTTAAGAACTTCCATGAACAGTTACTTCCCATTACCACTTGATCAGCTGTACATTGTGTGGTTGTCACAGATCTACTGACCTTAGATTCCCTAGCCAACCTGGATTTTCTCCATTTATTTCAGTCATTTGAATGACAGTCTCTAACCTACTACCCTGAATCTAATCTATAGACCATACTGACATATTCACTAATCCATTTATGTTCTAGTGTGTTTCCACCTGTATATTCCATCTTTCCTTCCACAGACAGTTTAACCTCTGTTCATTGCACAGAACCTCTGGGAGTTATTGAGTCCATTTCCCTCCTGGTTCTTTCATTATACTTGGAAGGTCTAGAGACTGGCAGGCAGGGTTCCAAAGCCTCACCTGGTGTTCACACTTCTGGCATGGTTGGGCCTCTCTGTCCTAGCTACCTTGCTAGAATGTGAGAATGCAGGCAGAAAGTATGCAGGCTGTGTTTGGAGAAGAGTACAAAGTAACTGTGTCCTGTCTGCAGAGCCTCAGTTTGTCCTGTAGAGGGGACAGGTTAATTTGGAGTTGCCATAGTGTCTTTATTACATTTGTACATAGTGAAGTTCTAAGTGTATCATAAATACCATTGCCTTTACACCCCTAATGTGATATACAACACAATCTCCAACTCACCAAAGAGGAAGTGAGACAGGGTGGTGGATAACTTGTTCCTGATGACCCAGCAAATACTGGAGTAGCATTTAAATTTAAGCAAGCTGGCTCTAAAATTTTACATGGTGTCTAAGAGCACTAAATGTGTTTAAAGTATACCAGGAGGTTTTTTTTTTGTTGTTGTTCTTTTGTTTTGGACAGTTGAGTTTTTATTCAGTTGGTCTAGAAGCAGGTATTAGGCCTCTTGGTAGTGAAGTGTGGCTTGTTCTGGCATTGCAACACTAGGGAGGAAGTGGGAACTTGATCTTGGATCCCTGGAACTGCTTGACAGCCGGCCATTGGCAGTTGCCCTCTGAAATCTTTTCCACCTTCATCACGTTAATGGAGTGTGCACGGGCACCGGGCCAGGCACCCATGTCTTGGTAGCACTGTCTGACGGCTCCAGCAGCGGTCAGGTCCCGGTATTTTCGGCACATGTTGTGTGTGCCCTGTTGTGAGTTGTAGCGCAGCCATACTACAAAGTTCTTCACCCGCAGTGGGGCCTCAGGTTGCACCTCTGCACATGTACGATCTCCCCCGATGACTTCGTCTTCTTCAGCTGGGACCAAAATTGGGACTTGGCCACCACATGATTTGGCATAAAGATGCACATGAGGTATAGGGGTGGCGTGTCGAACTTCAGGGTGGGCAAGCAGCGCCCACCACCTTGTACTCCCGAAGCATGCCTGAGCAGCCTTCATGGGTCCTCCTTCGCCGCCAGCCACAAAAGCTATACCAGGAGTTTTAAGAATGCTTGCCTTTGTAGAATATGCTCAATAAAGCTTTCTACTGTTATGACCCTTTAGTACAGTTCCTCATGTTGTGGCAACCCCCATGATAAAATTATTTTTATTGCTGCTCCATTACTGTAATTTTGCTACTGCTACAAATCATAATATAAATAACTGTGTTTTCTGATGGTCTTAGATGACCCCTGTGAAAGGTCATTTGACTCCAAAAGGGATTATGATCCACAGATTGAGAGGTGCTACAATAAATGATAGGAAGGGTATTATCAGTGGACTTGCTCACTTATTATCTTGGACACAAGCCTTTGCCACATATCCAGAAGGTGCCTGTTTGAGGTTGTCTTTTACCCCCTCCCAACAGTTGTAGATTTGACTGAGTTTATAATCTCTGGCTTCACCGTCACTACCTGGAAAGAGAGCTGGCCTTATTCAGATGGCCTATTCTGTGAGTAGTTTCCAGAGGTCTGAACCCTGGATGCTGTCAATACTGCTGTGATTCTCTCCATAGAGTACCCAGCATGGCTCTAAAGCTCCATAATGCCATAGATTCTGGGTCTGTGCTTTGTGGAGAGAGCAGGGAGAGTGCTCAGAAGCAGCAAGAATACTGGCACATTGTAGGTTTTGTTGTTGCAAAGGCTCATGGGAAAAGGGGAGTTTTCTTTAGTGATTTCTTAGTACTTGGCTAAGGATGGCAAGAGTGAATGGCCTGGCATCTCTCTTCATAAAGTGCCTGTTCTTTTTTTTTTATCCTAATTTAATATTATTGCTGGTTTACACAGAGTGAATGGCCTGGCATCTCTCTTCATAAAGTGCCTGTTCTTTTTTTTTTTTTATCCTAATTTAATATTATTGCTGGTTTACACAGAATTTAGGTGTTATCATGTATAAGTGCCCATTCTTGAACCCTGATAACTCTGTGAATCTCACCAATACTTCTTGGGGGTCTTTGTAACATTAGTCATCCATCATCCTATTTGGTTCATCTCATTCTTACAGGGAACAGAGGTAGAGCATAGGTCCTCACCACGTATCCAGAGAAGATGCCTACAGGCCGGATGGGCTTCACCCTGATGGCTATGTCTCCTTCCTTGCCAGGGGGCAGGACATTTCCCTGCTCATCTATGACCTAGAAGAAGAGGAAGAATGGATGGATGACCACAGAAGAGAAACTACACAAACAGTGGTGTGATGGCAGAGTTGGACAAGTGGAGAGCATTTTTCTCTCTCTCAACAGGACCTACAAGTCAAAAGAGGCCAGGAGGTTTAAGCTTGGATTCCTGGTCTACTTGCCTAGGTGCTGGTAAAGCCTCTAAGTATACTGGACCAGAGGAACCTGGGCAGGTGCCTATGGTTATAAAGGTTTAGGAGAAACATGTGCCTCTCATTAGCATTGAGAGCCTCCTCACTTGTAGACTTAGAGACTAAAAATCAAATGTTGTTCTGCTACCTTGCCCACTGACCTTCAGCTATGAGGCACTATGCTTGGATGCTTTCCTCCAGTGTGTGTTTTTGACATCTTTGCCAAAGAGAAGATGGCTACAATTACATGCTCTTATGTTTGGATCTATTTTGTTCCATTAATCTACATGTCTGTTTCTATGCTTTATTACTGCAGCTCTGCAGTGTAACCTGAAATTTGTATGGTAGTCCCTCCAGCACTGTTCTTTTTGTCAGGGATAGCTTTCACTATTTGGGACCTTTTTTATTTCCATATGAGTTTTAGTATTTGTTTTCTATTTCTGTGAAGAATGTCGGGGTGTTTAACTGGGATTGCATAGAATCAGTAAATCACTTTCAGTTAAATGGTCATTTTCACAGTATTCATTCTGCCAATCCATAAATATAAGAAGTCTTTTTATATTCTAGTGTCTTCTTCAATTTCTTTCTTCAAAGATTTAAAGTATTCACTGAGGAAGACTTTCGCCTTTTTGTTTAGCTTGATTCCTACATATATCTTTGAGGGTATTGTGAATGGGAGTATACTCATGATCTGTTTCTCAGCATGTTCGCTGCTGGTGTATAGAAAAATTACTAATTTTTGTAACTTGATCTTGGATTCTGATACTTTGCTGAGAGTGTAGAACTTTTTTAGAAGTTTTCTGGTAGAATTTTGGTATCTCTTATGTATAATGTCAGATCATATGCAAATGGGGATAATCTGACTTCTTTTCCTATTTAATTTCCTTTTCTTGCCTTAGCACTACAGCCAATGCTTCCAGGACACTATAGAAAGGGAATGGAGAGAATCAACAGTCAGTCATTCCTGAATTTAATCTGATTTCTTCAAACTTTTCTTCATTTAGGCTGGTTTTGGCTGTGGGTTTCTTATTACATTGAACTTTGGTCCCTTCAGTCCTGTTCTCTATAGGACTTTTACCATGAAGTTGGGTTGGATTTTGTCAAAGGCTTTTTAAAAAAAATACATTATGGATATAATCATGTGATTTTTGTCTTTAAGTCCATTTATATGACTTATTATGTTTATTGATTTAGGTAAGTTGAACCATACCTGCATGTCTAAAATAAAGACAACTTAATCATTGTGGATGATATTTCTTATGTGTTCCTATATTCAGTTTACAAGTATTTTGAGGAATTTTGCATCTATGTCCAGGGGAATATTAGTGTATAGTTTTCTTTGTTTTGTTGTAGTGTATTTACCTGGCTTTGGTATTCAAGTTATTATGGCTTCACAGAAGTTTGAATATGTTCCTTCTGTTTGTATTTTTAAAAGTATTGATTGTCGTTCCTGTTTGCTGTGAATTGATCTAGATTTGGGCTTTTTTTTTTTAAGTTGGAAGGTAGGCATCTGGGTCATTCACCCAACTGAACTAGCATACCTAATACTAGTTCCACTCAATGAAAATGTTATAAGTAAATACATGACCACAAATTAATATTTTCCCTCCCTCCTTCTCACCCTTCCAAACCTGTACATCATAATGGGGAACAGCTGTTCCCAGGAAGCCTGGTTTGACGGTCATTGTCCTGGAAACTCTGCAGGTGAGTCCCTGTGGAGAGGCACAGACAGAATAGTAAGGCTCAGGAAGAGCTGCACAGTCAGCGAGGGAATGGTTCACTGAGCAGGTCTCATTCCTACCCTTAGCCATTCACATTCCTGTCTCCTCCATTCCCATCCTCTGTCTTTCTCCCCTTTCCTGGAACACCAATCCTAGTAGCTCACTGAACTGTTGGTTCAGAAGACAATCTGATTACTTCCCAGGGAAGAGAAATGGACAACCACTCTCCAGAAATCCATCTAGATGAGAGTAATGAGTTCTCACATTTTCTAACACAGTAGAATGACTAAAATCAGCACCAATGGATCACATATCTCAAAGTTGGAGAAGAAGCAATGTTCCCAATGTAGAGGAAGGATAAATGTTTGAGGAAGTGCATATAGAGATATGCAAATATCACACAGTAGGCATGGGGTGTAGGTTGGTGGTAGGACAGTTGCCTAACATGTGCAAGGTCCTGGGCTTGGTTCTCAGCTTCACAAGAAGAAGAAGAAGAAGAAGAAGAAGAAGAAGAAGAAGAAGAAGAAGAAGAAGAAGAAG